AAAACTTATGTGGAAAAAGTCTCTGAGTTAATTATAAAAGGCAAGCTGAGACTTCGTCAACTAGCAGGCATAAACCCAGCAGAAATTATAGTGCCTTTCACTGCTGATGAACTAAAGAAATTATGGGAAGATAATGAACCATGGCAAAGAGCTTGTGCTAATTTTTTGGGAGACATTAATAACAACTATCCAAAAAGCAAGAGGCTTAACTTCATAAAGAGAACTTCTTGGATTCTTCCTCGAATCGTCCGTGATGTTCCAATAACTGGAGCCCGTACATTCTATACTGATGCCAATAAATCAGGGAAGGCAGGTTACAAATCAGAAGACTTGGGTAAGGTGGAACAAAGTCCTTATAATTCTTTCCAGAAGGTGGAATTATATGCCATTCTTATGGTGCTAAGGGATTTTAAAGAACCTATTAATATAGTCACTGATTCACAATACGCAGAAAGAGTTATTTTACATATTGAAACTGCTGAATTTATACCTGATGATACAGAACTAACCTCATTGTTTCTCCAGGTTCAAGATTTGATCAGGAACAGGCTTTGCCCTATGTACATAACACACATCCGATCCCATACGGGTCTGCCAGGTCCTCTAGCACAAGGTAATGCAGAAATTGATCAATTATTGATTGGTAGTGTGCTACAAGCCTCTGAATTTCATAAAAAACATCATGTTAATAGCAAAGGTTTGAAGAAAGAGTTTTCAATTACATGGCAACAAGCTAAGGAGATTGTAAAGAAATACCCTACTTCCTCTTTGTATAACCAAACACCACTGCCTGCAGGGGCTAATCCAAAGGACACCCAAAGGAATGAAATCTGGCAGATGGATGTGTTCCACTTTGCAGAATTTGGCAAATTAAAATATGTTCATCACACCATTGACACTTATTCAGGCTTTCAGTGGGCAACTGCTTTAAGTTCAGAAAAAGCTGATTCAGTAATCACCCATTTATTAGAAGTCATGGCTATCATGGGTATACCTACACAAATAAAGACGGACAATGGTCCTGCTTATGTTTCTAGGAAAATGAAACGGTTTTTTGATTATTACAATATCAAGCATGTTACAGGTATACTATACAATCCAACAGGTCAAGCAGTCATAGAAAGATCAAATCAAACTATAAAAGATATGTTGAACAAACAGAAAGGGGTGGAAAACACCCCCAGAAATAGGCTACATAATGCTTTGTTAACCTTGAATTTTCTCAACGCTAATGAGAAGGGAACAATGGCTGCAGAAAGACATTGGATAATGGAAAAGTCTACTGAACTAAATCAACCAGTTTATTTCAAGGATGTGCTGACCTCACAATGGAAGCCAGGAGATGTGCTACGTTGGGGAAGGGGTTTTGCTCTTATCTCCACAGGTGAGGAAAAATTGTGGATACCATCAAAATTAATAAAGGTTCGGTTTGAAGAAGAAAAGCCACTTGGAAAAGATAAATAACAATTCTTGCATAAGGATGGCGAACATACTGATGGTAAGAAATACAGATAGGTTGGAGGCAGGGTTCTTTTCTTATCTCCACAGGAAAATACTCATCTTCAAAGAAATTGAGGGACCCTGAATATTTAATTACAGATGGATGGACACATTTTGTAAGTATTAATTTTTATTTATATGTCTTATTAAATATTTCCATATAAATATATAGAGCTGGTTTTGAAGTTGGACTCTGGCTCAGTCCCTCTCCAATTCCAAGCCTGTTAGTAAGAGAAAAACCCAGAGTTTCTGGAGTTTCTGTCTCATGTCAAGAGCCATGATATGGGACAGAAAGAAATATGAGTTTAGAAAACATCTTTACTTTTCCTCATATCTATCATACTTTTCATTGAATATATCTATCATGCCTTTCATTGAATATATATATGTATGTCTATATATGTCTATATGATTAATGTTTAAGTTTTTCACAATGAACAATGAGTTTTTCCTGAAGTGACATTTGAAGTTTCCAGGAAGAAGATGGGGCCCCACAACAACAACTCTACCTGGTTGATATGACGTCATGATACTGATAGCTCTACTACAAGACCTGTTTTGGATATCAGTTGCACAAGACGATCCCAACTTGGTTAGCTGAAATGGTGCACATCTTGTACAACATTCTGGCCAGACCTCCACAAAATACTCAGAGACAATTTGCAATTTTAAAAGACATTGATCTTGAAATTTAACCATCATTTTACTTTCACAGGATCCCCCAGAAAGACCGTCGCCCCCATGACAGCTGGAAGTAACTCTAGAGGACGACGTCCCCTCTCCCAGTAAAGTTTACCCCTGGGTTTAGGGACATCATTTAGGGGTTGGGAGGTTGGGGGAGGAATTTTATAAGTTCAGGGATCATTTTGAAAAAAAAAAAGAGGGAATGATGGGGATAATTGATTTATAATTGTGAGTTACTGCTTTTAGACAAATATATTGGTATCAATTCTTATATATTGAAACAAAGTTAAATTATATTGACTATTGTATGCATGCATGTTTCTATGTCTGTTTAAAACATTTTTATGTATTGACATATATTGTATTGATATATATAGTATATATTTACCATATTGCAATGTACATTTCTACCTCTGATTAAGATACTTATATAATGTTTGTGTATTGATATATATTTGCCACATTGCAATGTATATTTGTACAGTGTTTATATTTGGAGGTCATTATCCTCATTTGTTACACAGTTGTTTATTGTCTTAGTCTTTAAGTTAGATAGATATTGAGAATTATATAGATAAATAGTCATCTAAGTTTGTCATTTATAATTAGACTAATCAGGTTCTTTAGATATATAGAGATTATACTCAGTATAGATAGATAATCTTCAACCTCTTCAAAGAGCTGTAGAAAATGGCCTTTAATCTAACTCAGAGTTTCGTGATAGTGAGACACAATTGCTCCTGGCAACACCGCTCTATTCCCAAGAGAATGTTGAGCACCAAAGACACTCCCTCTGGAGCCTTTCTATTTGGCAGAACTGGCCTTTGGACAAAGAAATGCCCATACCTCATCCACTGACACAGATACAGAGTGTGCATCAATGGATAAAACAGGACTGTCATATCCTGCCAAGACAGGGTAAGATAGTTTTGAAAAATTCCTTGCCTTTAATAATGGTATATCAGTTATGTTAGGCCTTAGCCAAAATTGGTTGACTCAACGTTGCAAACGAGACTTTGGGTGATTGCCCAGGTAGTCAGTTGTCTCTGTCAATTGTTGCACATTTTGGATATATCTCGTTTGTTGAGTAGTGTTTATTCCCTTCTCAGATCTTTGACTGAGTTGAAGATTAGATAATTGTAGTTACTCTTTACATTATTTGGACTCCTTGAGATAGAATGTTTAGCAAAGCTTTTGTTCTCAATATTGTTTGTTATATTTATTATTTGTTGTTATTGTATGTAGTTGTATTTGGTTTAGTTCTGTCTTATTTAGACAAAAAAGGGGAGATGTAGCGACAAGTCCCGCCCCTTAAAGGGCGTGTTCGCCTCGGGCTAATGTCTGCCTATAAATTTGGCGAGCAAGCTCCGAGCTGGCCCTTCTGCTTTCCTGGTCTCTGCGGGAACGGTGGTTCTGTAAGTCTATTTCTACATTAAAACTATATATATTTTTACAATCTGTCTGCATTCGTTTACGCCGCTACACAACTGTAAATATCTTGCCTAATTATATGTTGAACTTTGTTACAGGTATGCACATACAGTCACCCTCAACACCCTCTGGGAATTAGTTCCACCACTCTCACCAAAATAGTACTGTTCACACTTATGTTCCCTGTGTAGAATCATGAAGTATCTCCATAGAAGGGCCACACATCCCAAGTATCTTGAATCTACTCTGGATGTCATAATCTCTAACAAGAAAGATACTATGTCAGTACTCACTACATTGTTTAGGAAAGAATGGTCAAAGGGAAAAAGTCCACGAATATTCAGTATACATGATTTTTTTTGGTCCTCAAATATTTTCTGCTGGTTGAATCCATAGATGTAAAACCTGAGGGTATGGAGGATCAACTGGAAAGGAAATACACAATACATATTGGAGAGCCTGATACTATCCCCATGTTTCAGGGATTTGTGGACCATCTTGGAATGTATCCTATGCACATCAATAAGAATCGTCGTGTCTTCTTTTGGTCTGGTAAACCTTTGATATTTACAGTTATCATAACTATTTAAGGATGCTAAGGAAGTAGCCTAAAATGGAGTGCTTGCCTATCAAGTAGGAATCCCTGGGTTTGATCCCCAGCATAGTATTGTAACACAGGACTTCAGTACTGTCAATCAATAGGTAGGGGCAGGAAATCAGCAGCTCAGGGTCATCCACAGGTACATGGCGAGTTTGAAGCCAACCTGTTCTACTTCAAATTCTGTCTCAAAACAAAAGTGATTAAGAAGAAACCATTTCATTGTAGACAAAGAGTACTTAAATAATCACACAACTTCAGTACTTAATTAATCACACAACTTCTATATCTTAATATAGAGATAATGGTTCTTATCATAATCTAGACAGTCCCACACAGTCTGCCCACTCATTTTGACTATAGCAGCCCCCCTTCTTGCACCCTCTTCTTTCTCTGATTAAGCATTAGAGGCTCTTCTTTCAGACTGTTGTGTAGACCCTGGAGACCACAGAAACAGAATGCCATTTGCACTGTTCCATCTCTGCTACCCTTGCCTGTTGTTCAGATCTTGGTTCAGCTGCCCCTTCCTGTGTGAGCTCCACATGAAACACCACAATAGACTGAGGCTGCTCCATAGTCATGCCACGTGGCCATCTGACATGTTCTAGTCACATCATCTGCATTTACTTAGGTTCTTTAACACTCATGCCTTGCTAGTCCCTAGTGTAAAAAAGGTTCACTCGTGTTCTGCTAATGACTGGCTGAGCCCTGCACACAGCAGATGCACATAGTCTAGAATGAGTTGGAACATGAAGGAATCATGGCTCTATTGGTTGACTGTTCGCAGGAGCTGGTGACTATTACTGCAGTGGGAATGACCTAACTAACTTCTCAGGAGTAGGAGTCCCTGGTGGAATGGAAGAGGTAGCTAACAAGGGTCCTAAGTCTCTGAGGTAAGAGTCACATTTGCTCGTTCCTAGAGGGTTGCTTCTTTGCTCCCCAGCTTCATGTGTCTTTGTTGTGAGCATATGTGTGGGTATAGTGCATACATGTTCATGTGGAGTCTGGGGTTGATGTCAGACATTTTCTGCATTGCTTTTGGTCATAGTTCTGGTTTCTGTTGCTCTGAGAAAATACTAGGACCAAAAACACTTGGAGAGGAAATTCCTTTCATATTTGCACCTGATGATCTGTCATTAAAGGAAGGAAGAACCTGAAGGCAAGAACCAATCCAAAGACCATGGAGGAGTGCTGCTCATTGGCTTGCTCCCTCCTGCCTTGATCTGGCTGCTTTCTTATAACTTTCATGACTGCTGACCCAGGGGTGGAATCACTTGCAATGATCTGGGCCCCCTACATCAATCACTAATTAAGAAAATGCACCACAGACTTGCCTATATCCCAAAACCATGGAAGCACTTTCACAACTGAGAGGCTCTTTTCCCAAATGGCTCTAGCTTGTGTCAAGTTTACTTACAACTAGCAGGTATGACTCCATGCCCATCCAGAGTTTGTGGAGGTTCTGAGAATTCAAATTCTACTCCAATCTTCACACTAAGGTGGCAAATGCTTTAACCAATGAGTCATCTCCTCACCGCCCCCCACATCAGTAAAATTACTACTTGTCCGCGTTGATGCACTTAATCACAATTCCCCATTGATCCCTCTCTTCATTCTGTAGTCTCATGAGGTTGAGTGGAAAGTGTAAGGTGAGGAAGAGGCAGAGGTAGTCTGAGTTCCCACGCAGCAGGGTGAATAGACAGTGTCTGCAGATGCTGGCTGTGCATTGGAAGGAGTCTTGAAAATTGTTGAAGGAGGTTTGGGGCTTCACCTTCCTATCCCAGTCTGCCAAGTCTCTCAGTCCCCCTGAGCTGTGATATGCAGTTATGCATGTAGTCACACACCATGATGTCTCAGGTCCACAGCTGGCCCACAGTCCTGAATTCAGTGCCTAAGATGTGAACTGGCCTTAGCCTATAATATTCATGACCTGATATTCCATTAGGTTTAAAGGAATCCTGGGCCAATCAGCAGAGGTGGCCCTATAGAGTGATATCATATCAGATTTATACATTCCTTTCTATAGTTAGTGGTGCCACTTTGGAATGTTTAATGATTTTCTCTTTCCATTTCTTTAGGGAATTTGTAAACTCTTTTATAGACTTTCCCAAGCCTCTGGTTGCAGTAATAAACGGCCCAGCTATAGGAATCTCTGTAGCCCTTCTGGGACTGTTTGATGCTATCTATGCATCAGACATGGTAAGTCTACTTGTGCAAGCACAGGTCAATCCATGAGTACCTCCATTCTTAATTGTGACTATCCCTCGGTATATTACAAGGGGTTAATGGTTGTGCTGGTTAGTTTTTTTAACAACTTGACACATAATACTTACTTGTAAAGAGGGAAACTCACCTGGGAATTTTTATCTAACAGATTGGCCATGGTCATGTTTGTGGTACATTTACTTGGTTAATGATTGATGTGGGAGGGTCCTGCCCTCTGTGGGAGTAGCACCACTGTGCAGGTAATCTTGGGTTGTGGTAAAAAAAAAAAAAAAAAAGCAGGCTGAGCAAGCTGTGAGGAGTCAGCCAATAAGCACTGTTTCTCCATGGCTCCTGCCTCTGATTCTTGAGTTCTTGCTTTGACTTCCCTCAATCATGAACTGTAACCTACAATCCAAAAAAAAAAAAAAAAAAACAAAACCCTTTTCTTCCCAGTTTGCTTTTGGTCAGTGTTTTATTACAGCAACAGAAACCAAAACAAGACAGCAGTATATGTAGTCATTTAGATAGTTCTTAAAGACTCAGTCTAACTTGACAGTTTGTATTCTTACGTCATTGTTAATTATTTTTTCTAAACACTGCCATTGAAACATTGCCCCAACTCTAATGGTTCTGTATTTTAATCAGACTACATAGCTGTTCCATGTTTTGAGTTCCATAACTCAAAAATGGTCAGGAGATGACGGACAGCTTGCAGGATTGCTTGATCCTCTTTTCCTCCTTCAGGAATCCTAGTATTTATGATTCTAGATTAAGAAGGGACTTTGGTCATTCACTGCTCTCCTTCCTTTTTAGAAGAAAAAACTAAAGCCTTGTGTTCACCTCTTTATTTAGCATGTGTTTGTGTTTGTGTGTGTGTGTGTGTGTGTTTGTGCATGTGTGTGTGTGTGTGTGATAGAGAGAGAGAGAGACAGAGACAGAAACAAAGAAAAAGAGAGAGACAGAGTCTCATTGTGTCACAGGAGCTTTCCTAGAACTCACAGTGTAGGTAGACCAGGTTGGCCTTGAACTCACAGAAATACTCTTGCCTCTCTTCCCAGTTGCTGGGATTAAAGGTAGATGTTACCATGCCCAACTTGTATTTTTCCTTTATTTTTTTTTAACCATAGTATTTTTCTGTAGTGGTCAAACTTAAAATTTCCAAAAATATAGAAACTACAAAAAAAGAAAGAAAAGAAAAGAAAGATCCGATCAAGGACAGACTGTTAAAACTATAGCAAAACCTTGTCTTGAAAGACCAAAAAAAGAAAAAAGAAAGAAAGAAAAGAAAAAAAAACACACACACACTGGAAATGTATGTGTTGATCAGTAAACTAAGAAGGGAAAGGATCTGTGCTGGATCCCCAGGACCATTTAAGAAAAACTAATTGTTACAGGGGAGTGAGCCACTTTTTCTCCCCAGATGCCAGGCTAGCTGATATTTGAAGTAATGACACAGAAGCTATATTATATAAAACACTGCTTGGCCCATTAGCTCTAGTTTCTTAATGACTAACTCTTATATTTTAATTTAACCCATTTCCATAAATCTGTGCATCACCATGAGATCATGACTTACTGGCAAACTTTCAGCATGACTGAGTCTGGCAGTGGCCCCATAATCTCTCTGACATCACCATCTTCCTCCTAGCATTCTGGGACAGAGAGCAAATAGTTATGCCTGGGAATGGTAGAAAGAAGAGCTAACCCACGGGAGTCCATCAGGGGACTTTTGGTGTACTAAATATTTTCTCAGCTGAAATTGATGGTGGCAACATAATTTACATATTTGTAAAACCCCATTGATAACACACTAGAAATGAATTGTGTATTCATATTATAACACGGAAGTTTAATTTAAATGGCCTCACCAATTAGGAATACTGAGCTAGACACAGTCGTACATTCCTGTAATCCCTGCACTAAAGAGACTGAGGCATGAGATGGTTAAGTTCTAGGCCAGACTGTGAATTTAAAATTTAAATAGTAATTACGTAACTTTGTCAGAGTTGAATTATAGACTAACCTCTATATACCTTAATGCTTTTCTGTTCTTCCTCAATCCCAACTAGGCAACATTTCATACTCCGTTTACCTCCCTTGGTCAGTGCCCAGAAGCATGCTCCTCTTACACATTTCCGAAGATAATGGGCTCAGCAAAGGTAACTTAGAAAAAACTTAAAATGCAGTGTGTTGTCTTTGTTGCCAAGGCAATCCTGTACTCTGCCTTCTTTCCCTGGGGCAATATTTGCAGGATGACTATTTGCTCTGCTACATGGAAAACCCAGGCTAAGGGGAGAACCGATGTAAGGGAAGGGTCAGGATATTTGCTCTGCAGTTCATGATGCAGGGACTGTGTCTGACAGCTGGTGACCTAGAGCTGGAGCACTGGTGGCAGCAGAAGACCTTGTCCTCCACAGCTGTGTGACAGTCCTTGTAGGCCTGGGACTAGGAAGTCTTTACAGATGTGATCAGCTCAGAGCCACCAAACTGTGTGGATGAGCAACATCCTTTGAGATGACATGGTGACATCTTCTCTTTGGAGCCATGTGAATTCTAGAAGTTGCCAGCTTTTAGCAGCTCCAAGTCATAGTCACTGTGACTCCCAGTCAGAGCTGCCTTTTACCAGTTATTGTGCTGTGTGTTGAGATGCCCTAGGTAGCCCACTGACTGCTCAGGTCTAGCTAGCTCTGTGTTTGTGCAAATCTACTTGTCCTCTGTGGAGTAACTTCAAGGACATGAAGGAAGATAGGACTGGAGAGGATGGACAGAGGGAAGGGCTTAGCAGACATTGGTTGCCATCTCAGTATGGTAAAAGAACCTATTTGGTGACTATTAGACTTTTTGCTGTGGATTTCCCCACATGCATACATAGATAGTACACATGCATACAAACTTTAACTTTACCGGGCTGTTGTCATAGAGGCTGAGTTATTAATCTGGCAAAGTTTGAATAGTTGAGCAGAAGCAGCTCTTAAAAGTTAGACATTTGAATTTGTGTTACGGGAGGTCCTTCCACTCCTCCAGCCTATCGCCGCTGAGATACCAGCCCATTGGGGCGTGGTCTCTCTCCCTTTAAAAAAGAGGCCACTTCCCTCTCCTCTCTCTCTTCACTTCCTGCTCCGCCGGTGACTAGACTCCCTTCCTGGTTGCGCAGAGGGCTGAAGGTGATCTGTAAGTTTTTTCCCCTTTAAATAAATACCACCCTATTAATCATAATTCCAAACTGGTGTGGCATTGTTTATGACTTACGCCTTCAGTTGGCACCCAACGATTGGTTTTAGAACCTCTCCTTTCCCCGCTCGGCTGCCGGCCCCAAGTTAGGCTTGGCGGGAGCCCTCCCTTCCTCAGCCGCCGCCAGCGGCCTTGGCCTCCCCACGTGGATTTAAACTCCACAGGCCCGCGTAGTCTCTGCCGCGTGGTTTGCTCTTTTCTGAGTCGTTTTTAAATCTCCCTTGCAAGCACAGCTCTTAAGTGGCACGAACCAGAGCACGCGGTTGCTGAAAGCTGCAACCTCTCAGGGTGACTCTGTCACGTGGAGGCATAAGCAGCTTCCAGGTGGCTCTTCTCTACCCCTGGATTCTGGGTTTCTGGTTCCGTCTCTGGAATTGATTTAATTACATTTACTTTGTTGAGCAACTTACATTTTCCAGTTTTTAACAAATACTAGGCGGACTCTGAAACAGGACTCTGTTTTCGTCGCGACGTGGCAACAGCGCCACCTGCTGGATAATAGGTAATATGTCAGTTTTCGTTTCCAACGCGAATTTAACTGTTCTGGTTGCCAATACAATGGGTTATATCATGCAAGGTTTATAAGACTATGGGGATAACTTAATTTACTGGTTACTAGGCTTCAGTATTCTTTTGAATATTCTATCATTTAGGAAGATCATGGCACTCCTAAGAACCATACAATCTTTACTAGAAACTCATGCAGGTCAGGAGATTCAGGATTCAAAAGAGACAATAATAAAGACAATAATAAAAAGACTTGAAATGATTGAAGAAATGATTGGAGCTGGTGAACAGAGTAATAAGGCACAAGGACAGGATACAATGCCAACACCAGCTATTAGAACTGGCTTACCCAAGGTTTTAGCGGCATACCCTATACTTAATTCTGACAAAGCGTCAACTTCAAAAGGCTCAAAGGGAGTCAGAGAAGCTAGATGGACGCCAATAGCAATGAATGATCTAAAAGAAATTAAGCAAGCTATTGTTAATTTTGGCTTGCACTCTGCATATGTAAAGGAAATGATAAGGACTTGAGCTTCTAACGTTAGAGCTACCCCCCATGATTTCCATCAGATAATGGACCTTCCTTGATGTTTGGAATTTATTTCAGAGAAGAATCCAAACATATGGAACAGCAAGGAAGAGCAAAAGGTGTCGAGGTTTCCCAAGATCAAATTCTTGGTGCAGGAGAATATGCTGATCCACAGGTCCAAGCTCTTTATGATGATGAAGTACTGTGTCTATGTCACCAAGCAGCTTTAAATGCTTGGAATAGGATACAAGATCCAGCAAAAAGGGTTGAATCATATACTAGAATTAGGCAGGGACCGAGAGAACCCTTTATTGACTTTTTGCAAAGATTAATTAAGGCTCTGGACATAGGGGTAACAGACCCAGAAGCTAGACGAATACTTCTTGAATCTCTAGCTTTTGAGAATGCAAACATAGAATGCAAAAAGATAATTGGGCCTTTAAAGTCTAGATCAGCACCTTTGGATGAATGGATTCAGCATACGATGAATGTTGAGACGTTTAGTTATAACGATGAACCTTGGGTAGGAGAAGCGATTTCCACAGCAATGAGGAGACATCAAACTGCCAGGTGTTTTAATTGTGGTAAATTAGGACATCTGAAAAGGGATTGCAGGCACAGAATTTCTAGGAATATTATCTCCTCTGGGAATGACAAAAATAGGAGACCTAGGCCTTCAGGTATATGTAGGAGATGCGGTAAAGGCCAACATTGGTCCAATGAATGCAGGTCAACAACAGACAAACAAGGCAACCCGATACCATCGGGAAACTCCTTGAGGGGCCTCTCGCAGGCCCCCAAGCCAACAGTGGCCCAGTCATTCCCAGTCACAGTGGAGAACGTGCCTCAACAAGAAAATTAAAAGCTCCAATTTCTGCTGTAAAAAGTAATACTGGTCTAAATGATGAAATACGTGTGGAGGATGAATCAAAAAACCCAGTAGGACAGAGTAAACGTATATTTTGGCAGACTTCTATTAATGATCAAAGACCAAAGCTAAGAGTCTGTATAAATGGCACTTTTATTGAAGGCTTATTAGACACAGGTGCGGATGTAAGTATCATTACCCCAGAATCTTGGCATCCGAATTGGCCTCTTCAAGAGGTAGATGTTCAGTTCCTGGGAATTGGAACCCTATCTCGTGTAAAACAAAGCACAAGATGGGTTGAATGCATAGGGCCCGAAGGGCAAATAGGAAGACTAAGGCCATATATAGCCAATATTGCCATAAATTTATGGGGCTGTGACCTGCTACAGCAATGGAATACCCAGATTAACATTCCTGTAGTTCCAGGGACTCATAATTCTGGGAAGGATATGATGAGGTAATATGGAAAAAGAACACCAGCCACTTAGGCTGTACAAGAACATACAGCAAATACCAAACCTTTAGAGGTACCAACAGCCCTACCTTTAAAATGGCTAACTGAGAAGCCAATATGGATCAAACAGTGGCCTCTAGCTGAAGATAAACTACAGGCATTGGAACAGCTGGTGCAAGAGCAACTAGATGCTCACCATATTGAAGAATCAACCAGCCCTTGGAATTCTCCTGTGTTTGTTGTAAAAATGAAATCTGGTAAATGGAGAATGGTGACAGATCTAAGAGCTGTCAACAAAGTAATTCAACCTATGGGCCCACTACAATCTGGAATTCCTTTGCCTTCTCTGTTACCAAAAGGATGGCCTCTTATAGTTATTGATTTGAAAGATTGTTTTTTCACTATACTGTTACAAGAAAAGGATAGAGAAAAATTTGCCTTCACAGTGCCTACTTATAATAATTCTCAGCCTAATAGGAGATATCAATGGGCTGTCCTCCCACAGGGTATGCTCAATAGTCCTACACTGTGCCAATATTTTGTAAGTAAGCCATTGGAAATAATTCATAAACAATTCCCCAAGTCCATCATTTATCATTACATGGATGACATCTTGTTATCTGATTCAAATAAAGATACTTTAGAAAGGATGTTTGAAGAAGTAAAGAAAGTCTTGCCTAGGTGGGGATTACAAATTGCCCCTGAAAAGATTCAAAGAGGAAATTCTATTAATTACCTAGGTTACAGAATAGGGTTAGAGAAAATTAAAATGCAAAAGGCACAAATTAGGAGAGACCGGTTAAAGACTCTTAATGACTTCCAAAGATTGTTAGGAGACATTTCCAGTCTACGACCAGCTGTTGGGATAACACCTGATCTAATAGTTCATTTAAACAAAACCTTAGATGGTGATAAAGATTTGAATAGTCCAAGAAAACTGACAGCTGAAGCAGAAAAGGAACTGACAATGATTGAGGAAAAATTACAGGAGGCACATGTGGATAGGGTGAACCCAAATCTTAGCTGCATCCTAGTCATATTGCCTTCCAGAATTTCTCCTACAGGGATTCTAATGCAGAGGGAAGATATTATTTTAGAGTGGATATTTATACCTAATAAACCAAGTAAAAAATTAAAAACTTATGTGGAAAAAGTCTCTGAATTAATTATAAAAGGTAAGCTGAGACTTCGTCAACTAGCAGGTATAGACCCAGCAGAAATTATAGTGCCTTTTACTACTGAAGAAATAAAAAAGTTATGGGAAGACAATGAACCGTGACAAAGAGCTTGTGCTAATTTTTTGGGAGAAATTAATAGCAACTATCCCAAAAGTGGTAGACTTAACCTCATAAAAAGAACTTCTTGGATTCTTCCTAGAATTGTACGTGATGCTCCAATAACTGGAGCCCGTACGTTCTATACTGATGCAAATAAATCAGGGAAAGCAGGTTACAAGTCAGATGAATTGAGTAAGGTGGAACAAAGCCCTTATAATTCTGTCCAGAAGGCAGAATTATATGCCATTCTTATGGTGCTAAGGGATTTTAAAGAACCTCTTAATATAGTTACAGATTCACAATATGCAGAAAGAGTTATCTTGCATATTGAAACCACTGAATTTATACCAGATGACACAGAGTTGACTTCATTGTTTATCCAGGTACAAGACATAATCAGGAACAGGCTTTGTCAGATGTACATAACACACATCCGGTCCCATACAGGTCTGCCTGGTCCTCTAGCCCAAGGCAACGCTGAGATTGATCAATTATTGATTGGAAGTGTGTTGCAGGCCTCAGAATATCATAAGAAGCATCATGTCAATAGTAAAGGCCTAAAGAAAGAATTTTCCATTACTTGGCAACAAGCTAAGGACATTATAAAGAGATGTCCTACTTGTTCTTTCTATAATCAAACACCGTTGCCTGCAGGGAGTAACGCAAAGGGTACTAAGAGAAATGAAATCTGGCAGATGGATGTGTTCCACTTTATGGAATTTGGCAAATTAAAATATGTACACCACACCATAGACACGTATTCATGTTTTCAATGGGCTACTGCCCTGAGCTCAGAAAAGGCTGATTCAGTAATCACACATTTATTGGAAGTTATGGCCATCATGGGTATACCTGCGCAAATAAAGACAGATAATGGTCCAGCATATGTATCTAAGAAAATGAAACGCTTTTTTGATTATTATAATATAAAACACATTACAGGTATACCAAATAATCCTACAGGTCAGGCAGTTATAGAAAGATCAAATCGTACTATAAAGGATATGCTGAACAAACAGAAAGGGACTGAAAATACCCCCAGAAATAGATTACATAATGCTTTATTAACCTTGAATTTACTTAACGCTAATGAGAAAGGAATGACAGCAGCAGAGAGACATTGGATAATGGAAAAGTCTGCTGAACTAAATCAACCGATTTATTTCAAAGATGTGCTGACCTCTCAATGGAAGCCAGGAGATGTGCTACGTTGGGGAAGGGGTTTTGCTCTTGTTTCCACAGGAGAAGAAAAATTGTGGATACCATCAAAATTAATAAAGTTTCGATTTGAAGAGGAGAAACCTCTTGGAAAGGAGAAATGACAACTTATCCACAATGATGATATTCATACAGGTGGTAAGAAAAACATATAGAATGGGGGCAGGGTTCTGTTCTTATCTCCACAGGAAAACACTCATCTTTGAGAAATTCAAGGGACCCTGGATGTTTGGATACTGACAGATGGAAAAATACCTGCCCAATAGGAAATATCAAGAAAACTGAATGGGTTGTGTAAGTAAAATTAAACCATATTTCTAAATTTATAAAGCTGGTTTTGAAGTTGGACTCTGGCTCAGTCCCTCTCCAATTCCAAGCCTGGTAGTAAGAGAAAAACCCAGAGTTTCTGGAATTTCTGTCTCATGTCAAGAGCCATGATGTGGGACAGAAAGAAATATGAGTTTAGAAAACATCTTTGCTTTTCTTCATATCTATCATACTTTTCATTGAATATATCTATCATGTCTTTCATTGAATATATATATATATATATATATATATATATGTCTATATGAATAATGTTTAAGTTTTTCATAATGAACAATGAGTTTTTCCTGAAGTGACATTTGAAGTTTCCAGGAAGAAGATGGGGCCCCATAACAACAACTCTACCTGGTTGATATGACATCATGATACTGATAGCCCTACTACAAGACCTGTTTTGGATACCAGCTGCACAAGACAGTTCCAACTTGGTTAGCTGAAATGGTGCACATCTTGTACAACATTTTGGCCAGACCTGCACAAAATACTCAGAGACTATTTGCAATTTTAAAAGACATTGATCATGAAATTTAACCATCATTTTACTTTCACAGGATCCCCCAGAAAGAACGTCGCCCCCATGACAGCTGGAAGTAATTCTAGAGGACGACGTCCCCTCTCCCAGTAAAGTTTGACCTTGGGTTTAGGGACATCATTTAGGGGTTGATTATAATTAGTATACGATTGAGGGTTGGGGAAGGAATTTTATAAGCTCAGGGATCATTTTGGAAAAAAAAAAAGAGGGATGATGGGATAATAGATTTGTAATTGTGAGTTGCTGTTTTTAGACAAATATATTGGTATAGATTCTTGAATATTGACACAAAGTTAAATTCTATTGACTATTGTATGCATGCATGTTTCTACCTCTGTTTAAAACATTTTTTATGTATTGACATATATTGTATTGATATATATATATATTGTATATATTTACCATATTGCAGTGTACATTTCTACCTCTGATTAAGATACTTATATAATATTTGTGTATTGATATATATTTACCTACTGCAATGTATATTTGTACATTGTTTATATTTGGAGGCCATTGTCCTCATTTGTTTCACAGTCGTTTATTGTCTTAGTCTTTAAGTTAGATAGATATTGAGAATTATATAGATAAATAGTCATCTAAGTTTGTCATTTATAATTAGACTAATCAGGTTCTTTAGGTATATAGAGATTATACTCAGTATAGATAGATAATCTTCAACTTCTTCAAAGAGCTGTAGAAAATGGCCTTTAATCTAACTCAGAGTTTTGTGGTAGTGAGACACATTGCTCCTGGCCACACCACTCTATTCTCGAGAGAATGTTGAGCACCAAAGATACTCCACCTGGAGCCTTCTTTTTGGCAGAACTGGCCTTGGGGCAAAGAAATGCCCATACCTCAACCACTGACAAAGATACAGAGCATGCATCAATGGATAAAACAGGGCTGTCATATCCTGCCAAGACAGGGTAAGATAGTTTTGAAAAGTTGCTTGCCTTTGAAAATGGTATGTCAGTTATGTTAGGCCTTAGCCAATGTTGGTTGCTTCAACGCTGCTAATGTGACTTTGGGTGATTGCTTAGGTAGCTAGTTGTCTCTGTGATTTGTTGCATGTTTTGGAAGTTGTTTTACTGAACTTCCTAATTACCCAGGTAACATTATTTCCCTTCTCAGATCTTCGATGGGGTTGAAGACTATATAAATGTAGTTACTTTCTCTCATGACTTGGCCAAGTTATTTATTATACAAGACCTAAGCTAGTTAGAATAGAATATTTGTACTTATTGTATATAATTTCATAGTAGGTTTAGAACTCTCTTATTTAAACAAAAGGGGGAGGTGTTACGGGAGGTCCTCCCACTCCTCCAGCCTATCGCCGCTGAGATACCAACCCATTGGGGCGTGGTCTCTCTCCCTTTAAAAAAGCGGCCACTTCCCTCTCCTCTCTCTCTTCACTTCCTGCTCCGCTGGCGACTAGACTCCCTTCCTGGTTGCGCAGAGGGCTGATGGTGATCTGTAAGTTTTTTCCCCTTTAAATAAATACCACCCTATTAATCATAATTCCAAACTGGTGTGGCATTGTTTATGACTTACGCCTTCAAATTTGTTTAGGTTTTTTGAAGAGAAAATGCAACTATAGAAAAAACAATTGCTAATTGGCTTTGGATATTATAGACGTGCAATGTAAGCTATCCCCATGTCCCTTCATTCACATGAAAGTAATCTGAGTATCCGTGCAGGGAAAGATGACATTCAGAGTCAACAACCTGGAAGGGAATGGATTTTGGAAACCTCAAAGGTGGACCCTATGGATTCTGTTGTTCTACCCTGCTCTTTTTTGTTATCATTTACAGAGCTTAATAGCTACTAGGTGTTGCAAGGAGGGCTGTTTGTTTGCTCCGCATCTCAGACTCCCAAAATAACCACACAGAAACTATATTATCTAAATCAATACTTGGCCCATTAGCTCTAGCTTCTTATTGTCTAACTCTTACATGTTTAGTAACCCATCTTCATTAATCTGTGCATCAGCACAAGGTTGTGGCCTACCAGCAAAGTTTCAGCGTGTCTGTCTCTGGTGGCTACTCCAAGGCTTCTCCTTCTGATATGCCCTTCTTTCTCACAGCATTCAGTTTAGTTCTCCCCCCCCACACACACACACCTCTATTCTCTGTGCAGGCCCAAGACACTTTCGTTAGCCAATAACCAATAAAAGCTACACATACACAGAAGGACCTCCTACACCAACAATGGGTTTAAGTACTGGGCTTCCCATTCTTGCCTCTCCAATGCAGATCCTCATAGAAGCACCTGCCATTCTAACTTTTAGAGAGTCATAAACAGTTATGGTCTCAGCTGTTTGAAAACCTTTGTCCAGTGTGGTCTTCGGCTTGCCTGTTCCTGTGAAAGACTGGCAACCTTAAGAGCCATGAGTACATCTGCATCTCCCAGTAGCTGGTTGTTCTGAAGTCAGCTGAAGCCTGTTTTTATAAAGCTGAGGTTGCATCTTGATTTGCATTGCAGGCAGCTGAGATGCTTCTCTTTGGGAAGAAGCTCACAGCAAGAGAGGCCTGTGCTCAAGGCCTCGTCACTGAAGTTTTTCCTGACAGCACTTTTGAGAAAGAAATCTGGACCAGGCTGAAAGCGTATGCGAAGCTCCCACAAAATGTTAGTATTTGGTTTTTACTTGTGGGGATGTGGAAATCATTTCCCAAGGGGAAATGTGCCTTAGTATGGCCCATCCTAAGAAGAAAAGTCATGTCTTCAGTTGGCATGAAGCACCTCTGAATTTTGTTAGAAGTTACCATGATGTTGGGAATAGTGATTTTTTTTTTAAGAGAACTTACCAGATAGACATTTCATTTCCATGCTACAAGGTCAAATGATAATCCTTTATGGTGATAACTCCATGAGGATGCCAGTAGACACCCAGCTTTTTTACTTTGGGATTCAGGTGGGAGGTGAGGAGGTTGAATATATTTAGGAGACCCCACTTTATAGAATATCAGTTTGTATGGGTAGTACATATGGGTAGTAGCTCATAACTGATTGTTCTTACATCCTTGCTGTTGAGTGTGTGATCCTGGAACCAGAAGATTTGTATCCATCTAGGGCTGTTTAGAGTCATCTCTGTGTACCTTAAAGATAAACCCTAATATAAATATATATATATATATATATATATATATATATATATATATATATATGCCTTAGCAAAATCTAAAAGGATCAGTTAATTAGATGGCAAGAATTTATTGATCCTATTCCTGTTGGAATAACTTATTGCTGGTTTTGTTTCATCAGTCCCTGAGAATTTCCAAACAGTTAATCAGAAAAGATGAGAAAGAAAAGCTCCACGCAGTTAATGCTGAAGAGTGCAGTACCATCAAAGCAATGATGCTGTCAGAGGAATACATCAACGCTATCAAGAGCTTCTTATCCAGAAAGTCAAAGCTGTGAAGCCCATCATAGCAGTTAGACTTCTCAAAGGAAGTATGTGCCTTCTGTGTTTCGGGTTTCTGGTATACGAAGAACGCCCTTCACTGTGCTCTTTTTCTTGACTAACAACACAGCAATTATGATAAGAAGGCCTAACAGCACTGACAAATAAAAACTTTCATACATCAAGTCTTAAGAGTTTATGTAAATTTTTGGTAATAGAAAGTCTTACATTTCTTGACATGAATTTATAAACTTTAAGACAGTGTACTTGGGGACCTGTTGACCGAGTTTTCTGTCCCACCTGATTTTGCAGCCATTAAGCCCCAAAGAAATGACACAGAGGTCTACATCAATTATAAACTGATTGGACCATCACCACCACTCACAGGAAGTCACAGTGGGACGGTCAACACCACACACAGGAAGTCAAAGTGGGACCTTCACCACCACTCACAGGAAGTCAAGAATGGAACTGTTGTCTGAGGCACTTGCTAAAACAGTCCTCCACATGAAAGTCTCCAAGAACAGAGGCCATGCAGGGTTATAGTCACAGTGTCCATGACACGGTCCACACACATTTGGCATATGGAAGGCTGGCCAGTCGCAATGAGAAGGAAAAGGTGTGTCAGTCCCATGATTACCCAGAAGTTGGAATTGCCACACAGAAAGCAGATCTTCTAGCTGTCCCAGATGGCCAGGAAAATCGCATGTGATTACATGTGAAATTTCAGCTGATTAGAAATTTTCACTTTTGAAGTGTAACGCCTACTAAACACACACACACACACACACACACACACACACACGTACTTAATAATATAGTAGCTGTGATGGCTCTTTTTGTTTGTCAACTTGCCTATATCTGGAATTAATAAAAACCCAAGCTGCTGGGTATACCGGTGAGAAATTGTTCTTGGTTAGATCATTCACGGTGAGGACACCCATCCTAAATCTGGGCCACACCTGATGGCACTTATATAAAGGACATGGAAGAGGGAAGCTCTTGCTCTTTGCCTGCTTGCTCTCTTGCTGGCAAGTTCATCCCTTCACTGGTAGTAGAGCCTACTTCTTCTGGATTCCGGTGTATGTGGAAGACCATCTGAGTTGTCCAGTCTTCTGGACCAAATGGCTATTGGATTCTTGGACTTAATGTCAGCCATTGTCGAAGGACTACAATCTGTAAGCCACTCTAGTATAAAGATTGTTTTTTGTCCCTCTGGAGAACCCTACTGATACAGTAATCTTCCATATAGCTTTCTCAAACTTCCTTAGTGCTCTTTAGCCTTGCTCTGCCCTCCCCTCCCCCATTATCCCCATTGCACCTAAACCTCCCCAGTATTCTTCCCCTTCCTCCTATCATTCAATTTTTGAGCTTTTGAAAGTGACGACCAATTCCTTACAGGTCATATATTTCAAATTTTTACACACTTAAATGGGTTTTTAATTTTAGTAGAAATAGAGCATTAGAAGAAAATTGCAAGTTTGCTTTTAGAATGTGGTTAAAATTTCCCCTAAAAACTGTACATTACTGGCTGTTGTCACTAGGTGGCAGCAGAAAGGCTGGTGACTTCTGACTTGGACATAGAAGGGTTTGGGGAAAGGGAGACAACCAAGTCACTTGATTGCCTTTGTCTCTGCTAGTGGTGATGGTGGGACTTCTCTTGGCTTCAGCTACATCAAAGCACCACATCGAGTATTAGTGTCAAAATTAACCCTGAGCACTAGAACTGATTTTACAGCCCACTATTAATTGAATATATTGGCAGATATATAGTATGAGGTATGAGGACAGATATCAGAGGAGTAGGGGAGACTGTCAGACTCCACGTGCAGTTATCCCCCCAGGCAGCCTTTCCTTGGTGTTCTGGAAGAATAAGAGAAGGCTGGTGGGCTCCTAAGTGTTCTCACAGCTCCAGGGTTTCTACCCCTCAGGATTCACATCTTTCTATTCAGACTGCTGGGTATGCCAAGCTCCTTGTCCCCCAACTTTTATCTTATGCCTCAAGAAGTCATACAAAAATCATACAGTTGTATGTGGCTCCATAGAAATCCACAGGGAAGTGATACAAAAGCCCCCATAGATACCAAAATGTGCTGACTCAAATCCCTTATGGAAAATGGAACAGCTACCCGTATCATCCCATGTACCTTAAATGGTCCATGCATTCCCTATAATACCTAGAAAAACTATAAGTGTCATGCAAATAGTTGGTGAATTCTATTGGTTAGGGACTAACAGAAAATTATGTACATATTTAGTACAAGGTTCGATTGGGATTTTGCAAATATTTTTGATTTATGGTTGGCTGAATACACAGATAATGAAACCATAAAATGGAAACAGCCTAGTTGGTCTTTGTTTACTGTACTTGGAAAGACTGCATGAATGGCCAGTAGGGGGTGCCGTAGAGGTGTTTCTGGTGTGGGAGAAAATGAATAACAGAGTAGAAGAAACCAAAGTCCCTTCTAGACCTAGGATGCCATTGTTTATAAACACAGCGATTGCAATAGCCCATCCCCCAAGCCTCACAATAAGCATCCCTAGGGAGAAATCCTTCCCACTTGAGCCACAGCACATACCAGGCAGCCTTGGACTAGAGAAGCTACCTCAGCTGCTCTTTCTCTGTTCCCCTCACTGCTCTGTGCTATTGCCAGAGTGACTTCACATTCACTAGAGAGTTTATTACATCAAGGTCTACCTTCTAGTCTCCCTGACTCTGCCTTCCTCCTTCCATGCTATAGGCCAAGCCAGTTCTTATTTCATTATCCAATAAAATCAACACATAGACAGAAGGACCTCCCACACCAAAAGTTGGTGGATTAAACATCTAGATAGGAAGTTACATAGGAAAATTAGGAGAGTGGACTCCTTGATGGAATCTCACTTACATGTCTTCCCAAGGCTGTATATGGTCCTGTGGCTTCCTGAGTTACCAGAAAGACATTAAAATGAAAGAAAACTTTAAATTTCAGGAAGTTTTAAAGATCAATTAAAAATATGTGAGATTATACATTTACTCTTTACCATAAAGAATTTCCTTTTGCAAATGAAATTGAGTGGTCTTATGATATATGTTATATAGATTCAAGGGTCAGAGAGGAAAGCTGATATCTGGCAACAGATGTTCTGGCCCCAAGTGATCATATTACATTTGTTTTTCTTTGTTTTTTGTTTTTAACATCCATGTTTGAGGCATTATTAGGAAAGCACCTGTTCTAGGCATCCTTAGCTTACCCAGTTGTGTTGAGTTTCCTGTACTCTCAGACATTGACAAAGCAGATCCCAGGGTGAGGAGCATCTTCCCCTTCTCCTGTCTCCTTGGTTTCCCTATCTTCCTGTCTGCTTCAAGAGAAGTTGGAAGCAGTGACTATGCAGTAACCATGGGTAGATCTGGCCCTTATGAGCCTTCCAAAGACTTCTAGAGCTCAGTTGACGTGAATTTTCCCAAGATTTAGATTGACCACTGTTCTGGGGATGAGGAGGGGAGCCCTGAGTATGTTGTTTATATGGGCACAACCGTAGTAAGGTCCCCAATGCCTTGAACTTGAGGGGATGCCAAAACCTTCTCCAGCTCAGGTCCAGGAAACTGCAAAAGCCTTCCCCTGATACTGGTACCAAGTGCTTACAAAAGATCAGTCAAAAAGTGCAGAAACTGTTAGTCAAGGCTTCCTCTTTCAGCATGACTAAAGCCTGAGGCTTCTCTCCTACAGAGACCTCCTACTGAGATTAGCTAAATCTGCCTAGTTTAGCTGTTTACCATAATGTACCCTCCTTCTTATCCAGCTGTAAGCAGTCATTATACCTCATCTATTCAGATGTGTAGAATAAACACTCTGAATTTGGGGGTTGCTGGTGGTGTCCTCGTTTAGAGCAAGCATATCTTACATGAGCATGGCCCACCTGATCCCAGTTTTCCTCTATGGGTATCTTGAGTCTGTCCTTTCTTCACTTCATTGTCTCCCTTGCCAGATCAAAACCCAAGAAGAATATAACAAATGAGAAACATTTATTCAGTTTCACCATGTTTCAGGCACTTGGGGCCACAACATACTAAGAACAATTACAGTTCTATAAGTTTGCCTATTCTCTATGGGGACAACCCAAAGGAACATGATGGTGGCTAAGATTCAGCCGACTCAAGCTTGCATGCCCCATGGATGTGGACTGCATGTACCCAGCTAGGTCACCCTCTGTAACTCACTTGTGAGAGTATTTGGTGTAGCTTAGATTTTTTGAAAATAGAAAGAAGAAAGAGGAGGAGGGGAAGGAGGAAAAGGGATCTCAGCTGTGCTTGTTTGGTATTTTGTTTTGATTTTGAGTTTTTTGAGAGGGGCCTAGGCTGGCTTCAGATTTGTTATATTGCTGAGACTGACAGTGAACTCTGTCCTCCTTCCTCTACCTCCCGAGTGTTGATATTACAGATATGTGGAACACCTGGCTGTATATCAGGGAGTGCAGTAAGAAACTGCCATCAGGATTGCTCCATTATCAGGTGGAAGGGCTTTTTTTTTTTATTGTGAATGAGAGAGAAAATATCCAGCATTATCTGGAAGAGTACGAATAGAGAGAAAGAGATAAGACTGGACATGGCCAGAGCTAGGGAAAAGCGAGAACAGGAGAGAATAGTGAATTCAAGGGGGCATACACATATAAAGAAGGTTCTGATATGACCATTCCCTTTTTAGGGATAAGTTATTTTGGTTTCAGCTTTTGTTTTGAGACAATGTCTCTCTCTATATATATATCTCAGGCTGTTCTAGAACTCACTATGTAGATTAAGCTGGCCTCAAACTTACAAAAATCCACCTGCCTCTGCTTCCCAAATGGTGGGATTAAAGATATAAGCCTGGCCATCACACCTGGCATCAGGAAGGTTCATTGGGAAGAGGCCAGAGCATAGAGAAAGAGAAACAGACTGGACATGACCAGGGAAGGGAAAGAACAGTTGAAATTATGGATAGCAATAGAGAGTAGAGCAAAACAAGAAGCAAGGGGAAAGCAAGAGATAGAGAGTGGGGGTTAGACAAATCATGTGGATTATAAGGATCTTAGGAAAGGCTGAAGGACCAGGATGATACTATAGACTGTGAAATGTACAACAGGTTCTG